GCTACTAAATTAATTTTATGTCAAATAAAGACAAATGAGTCTTCTTTATGGTTATTTACAGCTATATATAGAGAGAAATTTATGTAAATGATAACCAACTTTTCCGAGCTTTAGAAGTTCTCCTTGACTCGCTATAGCCCTATTCGCGTTGGATTATTAATTCACAGAATTTTCTTTCAAATAAATTATAATGACTATTTCTAATTTTTGATGGAGAAAAAATCCTTTTAAGAATAAATTTTCTAGCTTTTGTTAAAACTAAAGAAACTCTTAATTTCCATCGAATAATAAGGAGTTTGTAACAATAATTAAGATTTTGCCTATAAGTTTTCTTTGTATGAAGTTAGGGTTAAGGTAGATCTAGCATCTTAAAATATTTTTTTTCTGAAATATTTTTTCAAATGCTTCTAACCCCTAAAGTATTTTTTGATGTATCTAATTATTTTTTCCTACTTACTATAATGTACGTGTTGTCAATATAATTTGTTAAAATGGGGCCATTTGGAAATTTTTTTATAAGATGACTCTACAAACCTTTATTCACATCACATAGTCAATAATTCATCCGCATAAATCGTTCACAAACTCCATTTTTTTAAAAAAAAATAAGGAAAAATAAAAAAAAGACTTTGGAAATAGAAAAACTGTAAAAATGGATCCGTTACAATATTAGTATTAGTTTTAATAATAACTGATAAGTAAACGCTAACAATTTTTGTGAATGGGTCTCCATATGCAAATTTTTAATTTTCATGGTCTTTTTTTGTTTTTTTTTCAAAAACTAATTTGAAACCCCTCTCTTGGAGCTAGAGAAACCTGTCATGCAAATTGCTACTTGCATAGAAATGATATTAGAAAGTTTAGAATTCTGCCAAACAAATATGGAAAATTTGCACGAGGCATATATGCAAGGAAGTACATAATAGCAATAAAGATTTAGATTGCATATACAGGATAAAATTTATGATTTTCAAAAGTTAAATTGTTGAATTATCTTTGATAAATATTCTTCATTGCCGAATATTAAAATTTGGGGATCTACTGATCAAAAGAAAAAAAAAATTTTGCGGGATCAATTGGTCAATTGGCACAGCATTCCATCTTTAGATGGTCCCCTGACTTTTACCAATTTTTTATTCATAAAAATAATAAAATATTTTTCACCAAAAAATAATAATAAAATAGAGGGAAAAAATTATAAGCATTGATTCTAAATAATTCTATGTCAAATAAAGCAAAAACGAATATTCTTTACAATTATTCAGAGTTGTGAGTGTGTTTTAGTTATTTAACTTTTTATTGGTTGGCATTCTTTTATCTTCTGTAAATAGTAGTTAAAACACATGAATTCATGTTATTATGCACATTTAATTTCCTATAGATTTTATTGCTTTTCTAATTATTTTTGTCTTAATTATCAGATCAATCATTATGCGTGTGGGGTGCACGATAGTATTTTCTCATTCATTGGCCTTTTGTCTATCACCTTTTCAAAGGACCTTTAAGGAGATGAAATCAAGCTAAAATAGACAGTAATTTTAAATGTGATGAATATAAATAAACTGAATAATTGCACGCAGATAGCTTAGTTAGCTTCAATATAACTGGAAAAGTTTTTGTATAATTTGTCCCTCTTGATTTTTTAATTAAACAAAAAATAACAGAAGGAGTAAAAAAAATATCATTGCATATTTTGAAGATGACTTTAATCGATTTTATAAACAGGGTAGAATAAGCTTCATACAAATATGCGACAGGTATTTCCATTGCATATTTGTAATAGAAAAATAAATATATCGACGATGAAGGTGACTATATCCACATGATTTGAATATAAGAATATATTAAATTTTTTGGTTTACAAAAAGCTTGTATATATTCTAAAAATGGAAAAGAAAATATCTGTGTAGATGTCTTGCTATTTTTCAAAATTTTCAACTCAACAAAAATTATGAAAGGAGTGGGAAAAGATAGTGGACACATTTGGAATAACTTATAAATAACTTGTCATGATTTACGTAATACGAGGTAAATATTTGAGAGGAGTTTTGTCTCATTTTACATAAAACATGCTAATAAGTATTTTTGAACGTTATCCCAAATAGGCCCATCCTTATAAAATCGTGCAACAGTGGATTCTGTTTAATTAATTGTGGAGAAGAAAATTATTATATTATGTTTAATTTGTTGTAATCAAATTTATAATTATATTATGATTTTTCTATTATTATATTTGTCAATCTTGACTAATTCTTGTCAGTATAAATTATGAACAACAACGACCAATTAACATGTATCTGTTGCAAACTTTAACTGCACATTATACTTTTTTAATCCAATTAAACTGCATATTATACTTTTTTAATTATTTTGACGATATTGATGAATTAAGTTCTCTTATTTATAATTTCTCATCTTACTATATTGATGTAATTTCTAAAAATAATTTTCTTTCTTTTAATATTGCTAATATGGATTATCCGACTGTTTGTGATATTTATACCTTTTATTTTAATATATTATCTTATCATAGTTAAAAAATAATAATAAGTCCATCTGTATGCGTTTACTTTGAATGGACTGAGATGATGATATTTCCATGGTATATTTTTATGCCCATCATATTATAAGGACAAGTCTTCAGAGATATCAATTACACAAAAAGAAATACGACCAGCTTTTCAAATTTGTTTACAATATCTGCCCATATTGTAGAACTATCAATAGCGAAGTCTAGTAAGAAACAACCACCAAGTTTCATTCGTTATATTTTTTTTGTAATTATATTTTCTTTTATGGACCAAGTCAGGTAAGAAAACATTAACAAAGTTTCATGTTTTTCTTTTTGTTTCGAGCATCAACTAAAAGTGGGCTCTGTAGACCAAAACTTTTGCTTCTCCCTTTTTGAAGAACAATTACTAATTCATATTTTTGGTTTTGGGGTTCATTTGCAGATAAAAATCTTGAGTTTGCATGTGCATCATGCCATTTATAGTGTAGGTAGCATTATAAATAGAGCCTCTTTTGTTAAGCTCCATATCAATCGTTCGCTTCTTGATAGCCTTCTAATTTCACTCATGGCATTTCCGATCATCATCTATTTGTACTTTTTCTTTCTTTCTTCCTCCCTTTCTTCTTCTCTTAACCCACCATTATGTAATCCTCATGACTCCTTCATGCTTCTCCAATTCAGAAACTCTTTCTCTCTTAATCAGTCTGCTTCAATGTGGTGTGATGAGTTTTATGATGAGGACTACACAAATACCATTAAGTTTAAGAACTCATCTTACCCAAAAATAGCTTCATAGGGAAATGATTCGAATTGTTGCTCGTGGGATGGGATCACATGTGACTCCATATCTGGCCACGTGATTGGCCTTGATCTTAGTTGTAGTTGGCTCCAAGGTCAACTCTATCCAAAGAATAGCCTCTTCCAACTTTCTCATCTCCAAACACTCAACTTGGCTTACAATGATTTTAGCGGGTCTTTGATATCATCTCAATTTGGTGATCTTTCCACTCTCATGTATCTTAACTTAAGCAATTCTGGTTTTGCTGGTGAAATTCCTCCTAAAATTGCAGAATTGTCTAAATTGGTCTCTCTTGATTTGTCTTGGAATGAATTTTTCTTAGATGAATGGTTGGATTTAAGACTTGAACCATCCATGTGGGAGAAGCTCATTCTAAACATGACCGGACTATGAGAACTTGTTTTAGATGATGTAAATATGTCTTTTATTGCACCAAGCTCCCTGTCTTTACTCATGAATTTGTCATCCTCATTGGTCTCTCTTAGACTTTCTTATACTGAGTTGCAGGAGAATATTATAAGTGACATTCTCTGCTTAGAAAGCCTTTAACTACTAGATTTGTCAAGTAATGAATATCTCATTGGTCAACTTCCAAAGTCCAATTGGAGCTCTCCTTTATCACTTTTGGATCTTAGTGAAACAGCTTTCTTAGGAGAAGTGCCTAATTCTATTGACCACTTGAAATATCTTAATCATTTGAGTCTAGACTTCTATAATTTTGAAGGGCGGATTCCTCTTGGTTTGAGCAATCTCACTCAATTGACTTATTTGAACCTTGCTTCAAACAAGTTTAGTGGTGAGATCTCATTCCTTTCAAACCTAGAACATCTCACATCCTTAGACCTTTTTTACAATAATTTTTTTGGTGAAATCCAGTCTGAAATCTCACAATTGTCTAAATTGGTCTCACTTGACTTGTCTTTCAATTTTGACATGACGGGGAGTTCATCACTATGACTTGAACCATCTACTTGGAAAAAGCTTATTCTAAACACAACTAATTTAAGAATGATTGGTTTAGACTATGTGAACATGTCCTCTATTACACCAAACTCCTTGTCTTTTATATTACTCAGAAAATTGTCATCCTCTTTGATCTCTCTTTCAACTGGGAAAACTTCTTTGCAAGGTAATATAACAAGTACCATTTTTTATTTAGAAAATCTTAAATTTCTAAAGTTGGGAGGGAATAGAAATATTCAAGTTCAACTTCCAAAGCTCAACTAGAGCTCTCCTTTAGTGGAGTTAATGATGTATGACATACCTTTCTCTGGAGAAGTACCACATTCCATAGGCCATTTGAAGTCTCTTGAAACTTTACATCTTAGATATTATCAATTTGAAGGGCCTATTCCTCTGAGTTTCAAGAATCTCACTCAACTAACATTTTTGGACCTTTCCTCCAACAAATTTAGTGGTGGGATCTCATTTCTTTCAACACTTGTAAATCTCACTTCCTTAAATCTTTCCAATAATAGTTTTAGGGGTCAAATCCCATCATATCTTCCAAACTTCGAATATCTCTTCAAGTTAGATCTTTCAATGAATAATTTTAGTGGTAAAATACTGGATGTGTTTGGAAAGCTTGGTGAATTAGACTAGTTGGCACTTAATAGTAATAATTTTAGCGGTCAAGTCCCTTCATCCCTTTCAAATACAAGTATCACATTTCTTGATCTTAGCTTCAACATGTTGCATGGAAACCTCCCGAATCCATTCTTTGGAGTAACTTATTTCTCAGTCTCAAACAATAAATTTAGCAGGGATATCTCCTTTCTGTTTTGCAATGGAAGCTCACTTGTGATACTCAACTTGTCTCACAACAACTTGTCAAGACCTATTCCACAATACCTTGTTGGCCTCCCCAATCTCTCAGTTCTAGACCTACAGATGAATGGTTTTTTTGGAACTTTACCAAACAATTTTTCAGAGAGTAGTGCCTTGCAAACTTTTCATTTCAATAGCAATCGGCTCAAGGGATCGTTATCTCTATCTTTGGCTCGTTGTACTCAGCTAGAAATTTTTGATATTGGACACAACAAGATCAGGGATACCTTTCCTGGTTGGCTTGATGATTTGCCAGAGTTACAAGTACTTGTTTTAAGAGAGAATAAGTTTTATGGAGCCATTTCTAGTTCTAAGACCAAGCATCCATTTCCTAAGTTAAAGATTTTTTACATTTCCAACAACCATTTTAATGGATCTTTGCCAGCAACATACATCAAGCAGTTTGAAGGAATGATGAAAATAGATAATGTTGAAGCTGGTTCGCAATATATGGAAAGTAAAAATTATTCAAGATATAAGGATTCAGTGATGATCACACGGAAAGGTTATATCGTAGAGTTGAAAAGGATATTGACAATATTCGCCACTATCGACTTGTCAAATAATAGATTTGATGGGGAGATTAAGCCATTGGAGAGCTACATGCACTAATAGGCTTAATCTTTCGCACAATAGAATCTCTAATTCTATTCCAAGATCAATTGGAAAATTGACAAGTCTAGAATGATTGGATCTATCATATAACAAGCTGAAGGGTGAGATTCCTCAAACATTGACGAATCTCAACTTTCTTGCTATTTTGAACCTTTCGCAAAATTAGCTTGAGGGGATCATACCAAGAGGTGAACAATTTGATACATTCCAAAGAGATTCATATGAGGAGAATTCAGGATTGTGCGGTATTCCATTGTCAAAATCTCGCAATAAGGATGAAGGAGAATCACCAACACCAATCTTTGATGCTGATGAGAAATTTGGATTTGGTTAGAAACCAGTAGCTTGGGGATATGGATGTGGAATGGTATTTAGACTCCTTATAGGCTATGTTATGTTCTCCATTAGGAAACCTCAATGGCTTGTAAGGACTTTTGGAGGTAACACCAAGAAATAGGCCAAAAGCATGAGAAATAGAGGTCATGCAAATGGAAGAATAAATTACCTGAGAATGTGGTTTTCTAATTAGTTACAAGCTATAGGTCTTTATCTTTCTTATTTTCTTTGTTCATATCATGTCAGTTGAGAGTGTATCATCTTTTGTTTTAAATGTAATAGCCTATTATTCTATTTATGTAATTTTAAGTGATTTGTTATCACTGCTTTGTTTTGTATTTGTTGAAGGTCAATGAAATACGTACAAGTTTGAGACCAAAAAAAATTTTGTTTCTTATGCTAGCGCATAGGAGCAATTTGTGTTAATAAGTTGTGAGTTATTTCATTTCAATTAGTACACCATACAAAAATAATTCTAAAGATTCAATTATGAAAAGTTAAATTTACATTCAAATCAATTAAAGGGTTTAGTTTTATGACAACACTTTATTTTAAATCTTTTTTTTCCTCAATTGTACATTTAATAAAACCTTTTGCAGTTAAAATAATTGAAGGATACATAGTGGGTATAATCTTTTTTTTTTAATGAAACCAAAAATAATCACTTAACTCTAGGAAAAAAACATATTTTTAAGAAAAACCTAAATAGAAACCTAAAATAAAAGCTTATGCCTTATGGTAAAAAATAAAAGCTAAGCCAACTTTAAAATGCAACAAGACATGGTTCTGGATTACTTTTTTTTTTTTTAATTAATTGGGTCCAGATTAACCAATTCGACAATATTCCTCTAATCTAATTAGAGTCCTTTGACCTATTGTGAAAAATTGTTTGGGCCAAGCATTGTGATTGAAAGTATATTGGTCCATTAGTTTTGGCCCAGACATATGCAGCAAAATGGCTAACACCTTAACATTTTTTTCTTTTTTGATGATCATCCTACTCTCACACATCTGAATTTAAGCCTCTCTCTTTTTATAGGTGAGATTCTTCCTGTATCTATTTAGAGTAGTTTATAAATAGTAAATAGCTTTACTTATCAATGATTTAAAAACCGTACCTAACCAATGTTTGGACTGTTCCGACCGGTAACCGGAATACTTTCACTGGCTCGTTCCATGTAATTGGCCCGCCTTGCCATGTGAATTGTTTCGAGCCACTTTGAGCTGGCATTTGGACTAGAAGCCGGCGTTAAGCTGGGAACCGGGACGATTTTGCAAAAACTGTATGACCTAAGTTTGTTATGCTTTTGCGTGGTTGGGGAAAAAAAACTAGATCTGAGTTGAGACTATCTAGATCAAAGAAGAAGAAAGGAGGAAAAAAAAAAAGGAGATCAAGGGAGAAGACGGAAGAAGATATCATAGGAGAGAAAAGAAACACAACCTTAAAAACCCTAAATCCACTAACATTGCAAGCTGTGACGGCCATGAATGAGAAAAATGAAAGCTGCTAGGACGGCCCGAAAGTGAAGGGTTGATATCTAAAAGGAGGATGGTCGGCTGACGGTGTAAAATTGGCGGAAGTGAAAAGTTGCTTTGAGTGCTGTAAAAGTAAACCATTATTCAATGTTAGTCGCAGTCACATCACATTTACCTACGGATCATCTTTTTGTTTCAGGTTTTTTTTTTATTTCTCATACTTTATATATATTTAGCATACTATTTTCAATGATTTTGAGTTGTGAGGTAAAATTATCGCGGTCTGATTGACAACACAATATCCCATTTCATATTAAGGATTTCTGCTCACACTAACCTTTTGTCTTTTCTTTCTTTACCACTAAACTGTGCCAAAACAAAGCAACACCACCCACAATATATAATAGAGTACCCATCATCATCCTATAATCCCAATTTAAATCACTAACACGCACCAAATAAAAGCACAACTTTTCCATTGATTAACTTGTTCATTTTAGACCAAAAACAAAAGTTTGGTAGTACCAAAGGTAAAAATGATTTTTTAAATTCCCATTCCCAAACACAATCAATCAGTCAAGAAAAATAGTATAGGAGAGGAGAGGAAAGAAAGTTCCAGACCTGAAAATTTGTAGAGATTCAAATGAAAGCTCTCTGGAATTCACTAACGATAATGGGGAAGATGTTTCATCATCAATAACTACTTTCTTCTTTCTGCAACTATAGCAGCCTCACATTATGCGAGAAACTCAGCACCTTTTCTTTCTGTTACGCTAAGACAATAAAGTCTTTTTAAGTTTCTTAATATTACAGTCAAGTCCATTGGGACTTCAAAGAATTATCAGATTTAAAGGAACTTTTTTGTTGTACGTTTTCTTATATGGGATCTCAATGTCATTTTCCCTAACACCTTTGCCTTTCAAAGAAGGTGGGCCCCGATGGCAAACTTTTGCTTTATTCATCAATAATGGTCATTCCAATATATTTTGTGTTTTACTTTTTTAATTATTTTCTATTATTGCTTTGCTTAATTACTACGAAGCAAGGAGGAAAGAGTGGCGTTAATAATGGAGGAATAATCCTCAGTGTCTACGATGTAATTAATGGAGCTGGTTTATCTTCTTTATCTTACTCTTTTGTTTTCCTCTTCTTTACATTTCATTCTCATCACCATCAATTAGAATTTTAACTATTTAGATTCAAACTATTAAAATTTAATACAAACAAATTGTTAAAATTTGATGTAAATAGGTTCACAACAATAAATTATTATTAAAAGTTTTTTTAGTTTATTTACGTATTGTTCAAATCAATTTTACAGTTTTAAATTTATTTATATATTTTTCTCATAAATTATAATGTTTGAAATGTTAAAATTGTAATTAATAGTAATGAAAATGAAAAGAAAGAGGAAAGGAAAAAGAGTAGATAAAGATGAGAAGTCAATTCTGTAACATTCGTCTAAAAGGGTTTATAAATAAGTTTTCAATCAATTTATAAAAATATAAAGTAAATATATGAAAAAAGTTTTATCATGACTTATATAAAATATATTATCAGTAATTCTAAACATGATGATAAGTGGGCCAATAATTAAGTGGGGTCATCCAAAAAGAAATAACAAAAAGATTAAAATAAAAGAAGACGAAAAAATAAAGGTGAATCGTGTGGAGCCTGATTAAGACTTTTTTAATAATTCATATTTTTATTTGGAAACTTATTACAATTCTTCTAATAAAATAAGAAAAAAAATAAAGAGAGATCATGAATAAAATTACACACTTTTCCTATGTTAATGCCAATATTCAGAATTTCAGATGACAAAACAAAACGCGGCCTCTCTTCTTTTCCCTTGCAGTCAGTCTTGACTCCTGACAAAACATTCACCCTTGCACAAGGTGGGACGTTTGCTTTTCTACACATCCCGAGATCTAGGCTTGATTTTCTGCAACCTTTCTTTTCACTCCTTGACTAATTTAATTGAAAATTCTTCTTCTTCTTTTTTTGTCTGAATTTGAAAATTATTTTGACCTTACTTTCTATAATTTTGGTGTATTAGTTTTTTTTTTTTTGAAAAAACGGTTATTTTTTCTCACCTATCCTGTGTCAGAAAAAAAATAAAAAAGGTCTTTCCTCCTCTCCTTTTAACTTCTCCTAATGGGCTCCTCTTATCTCTACGGGCCCTCAGCCACAATCCTCCTTCCCTTATGGAACAAATTGAATTGTGGCTCGACGTGAAAAATTATTAAAGATTAGGTTAAAATTGATTCATTGCTTTTCCTTTTAATATTCCTTAATATATTTTTTATGCATAAAAAGGTACTAGCGTTATACAAATTTGGTACACACACAGCACGGATACTCTGGTTTAATTTTTTTTTTACCGATAAAATTGTTAATGAGAGGATTTTTTTTTAATAATTAATTTTCTTACTTTATGTCGTACTTCTTTTTTTTTTTAATTATTATTATGATTATGCTTACCACGAGGGGGAAGGAAGGGACGAGTAGATGCACCGTGTGAAGCCTTAAGCAACTGTGAAGCAGTCACAATATTCCTTAATATATTTTTATGCATAAAAAGGTACTAGCGTTATACAAATTTGGTACACACACAGCACGGATACTCTGGTTTAATTTTTTTTTTTACCGATAAAATTGTTAATGAGAGGATTTTTTTTAATATTAATTTTCTTACTTTATGTCGTACTTCTTTTTTTTAATTATTATTCTGATTCTGATTATGCTTACCACGAGGGAGGAAGGGACGAGTAGATGCACCGTGTGAAGCCTTAAGCAACTGTGAAGCAGTCACCTTTTTAGGAAAAGTATTTTTTTAGTGTAAAAGTTATTTTTATACTTTTTTATGAAAAATATTAGGCTTTACATTGGAATCCTAAGATTTTGATAGCGGTCAAAGTCATCTCACAGAGTCAATGTAATGTCTTTGCCTTTCGAAGAAGGTGGGGCGCTATGGCAATCTTTTACTTTATTCATCATAATAACAAATCACTTAAAATTACAAAAACAAAATAATAAGCCATTACATTTAAAACAAAACACATATAATACATTCTTAGTATTGCTATAATACTTAACAGACATGATACAACTAGACAAACCAAGAAAAGAAGAAAGATAAAGACCAAGAACTTGCAACAAAATACAAAGCCACAATTTCAAGT